CAAGCACAACATCAAGTCTACCAATATCACGATTTGACTCCTATACCATTCACACAGTACTCAAACTTTCCTCTTAATAGAGATTTAGTTAGAGCATCCGCCAACATATGGGAAGTGTCTATATACCTTAAATTCACCTCACCAAGTTCTACAGCTTCTCTAATAAAGAGGTATCTTACGTCTATATGCTTTGTACGTTGATGATGAACTGGGTTCTCTGCGATAGCTATGGCCGATTGACTATCACTGAAAATAAGGATTGGTTCCTCTTTGGTACTAAAAATTTCAGCGAGAAACCTGCGCAGAAACACTGCCTCTTTTGAAGCTTCCGACAATGACACATACTCTGCCTCGGCTGTTGATAGTGCAATTGTGCGTTGCTTCTTTGTTTCCCAACAAATAGCTCCTCCTTGGCTGATATAAACAAATCCAGAGTACGACTTGCGATCTTCATCTCCAGCGTGATCAGCATCAGCATACCCTTGAATAACTGGCAAAGTCATTCCTTTGTTATATTGAATGCCATAGCTCTTTGTTCCTTTTAAATAACGCAACACTCTCTTTGCTGCGAGCCAGTGTTCTTCAGTGTAACAGGTATTAAATTGACTGATAGAACAGACTGTGTGCGATATATCCGGCCTTGTACACACTGCTAGGTACAATAAAGATCCTACAAGTTCCTGATACGGAATCCTGTCATCCGGTTTGTGATCAGACCCTGGTCTAGTCAGCCTCTGGCCTGGTACAGACGGAGTTGCGGCCACTTTGCAAGCTTCCATCTTAAAGCGTTTAAGCAATTTATCTACATACTGTTCCTGGTCCAGTTTAATACCTTTATGATCTTGGGTGATACGAATGCCTAATATAAACTCGGCTTTCCCAAGGTCCTTCATATGAAATTTAGACATCAAGTCCTTCTTTACTTGACACAACTCTTTAGCATTGTTCCAGAAGATCAGCATATCATCCACATAAATAGCAATAATAATCTTATTATCACCTTTAGATCTTGTGTAGATACAGGGCTCATTCTTCGATCTCTTGAAGTTAAGTTTAATTAGCTCCGAATGTAGTTTTTGATTCCAAGCTCTTGGTGCTTGCTTCAATCCATAGAGAGATTTTTTCAGTAGACAAACATGGTCCTCCTTACCTTTCTCTTCAAACCCTGCTGGTTGTCTCATATAGACTGTTTCAGTTAGATTGCCATTGAGGAATGCTGTTTTGACATCCATCTGATCCACATTTAAACCTGTTCTCGCGGCTAATGCAAGAAGTGTCCTCAGCGAACTGTGTCTCACTACAGGTGAAAAAGTTTCGAAATAGTCTATCCCTTCTCTTTGGCTGAAGCCTCTTGCCACTAGTCGAGCTTTATATCTAATTTTATTCCCCCCTCATTTTTAATTCTAAATAACCATTTAGAATCGACAATGTTGCAATTACTAGGTGGCTTTACAAGAGTCCACGTCTCGTTCTCCTGAATAGATTGTAACTCCTCCTGAATCGCAGCTCTCCATTTATCTCCATCACTCCTAGATAATGCTTCATTAACAGTTAAGGGGTCTCTCTCTGTTGTAACTTGATAACTAATGAAGTCAGGTTGTACCTTAGCCTTTCTCTCTCTAAACGGATACCTACGATCTGGAACATCATATGATACAGTTTGATCTTCCAGAACTTCCGTATCATTTCTCTCATCAGCAGATGCCCACTCTTCACAAGTGTCGTTTCCGTCAATATCCTCTCTGTCTTCTATTGGTAGGTTTTCAATTTCTAATACATCCATATCTCTTCGATTTCCTAAGTTATTAAGATTAATGTCATTATCTAAATTTAGAATTACATTGTCATTTTCCTTACGTTCAACAGACTCTTCTCTTCTAAAACATATATCATTCGATTTCACAGATACATCCTTTTTATTTTCGAAGTACATTTGATTTTCAAAAAATATGACATTTCTTGCCTTATACTTCTTTTTTGTAACTGGATCCATCAAAGAATATGCCTTAGAGTCTAAACAATAGCCGATATGCATCAATGGTAGGCTTTTTACATCCCATTTTTTCCTCTTGTTATTATTAATATGCATAAAAGCCTTACAACCAAAAACTTTAATCATACTTAGGTTGGTTTTATGTCCCGTCCAAGCCTCTTCCGGTGTTATATCTTTAACAGCTTTAGTAGGTGATCTATTTTTCAAGAAAACAGCTGTATTGGCGGCCTCAGCCCAATATCGGATGCTTAATCCTGCTTCTTGTAACATACATCTTCCTTTCTCTACAATTGTTCTGTTTGCCCGTTCAGCAACACCGTTTTGTTCAGGCGTATACTCTATAGTAAGTTGATGTTGTATACCATGGGATTTAAGATAATTATCTACTTGTTTATTGACATACTCCGTCCCGTTATCCGTTCTTAATATCTTAAGTTTCTTGCCGGTTTGATTTTCAGCAAATACCTTAAACTCTTGGATTTTAGAAAACGTCTCACTTTTTTGTTTAAGAAAGTAAATAAATGTTTTCCGTGTAAAATCGTCAATAAACGTAATAAAATATCTAAACCCGCTAAAAGAACTCTCACTCATTGGTCCACAAACGTCAGAGTGTACCAACCCTAATATCTCTGTAGCTCTAGTACCTTTAGTTTTCTTAAATGGTATTTTTGTTTGTTTCCCCATAACACAGGAAACGCATTGAAGTGTTGAAGATTTAGGAAAACTTACCCCTATGGCCATTTTATCTTTAAGTAGTTTTAGATTTCTTACTCCAAGATGACCCATTCTCTTATGCCACATCTCCATCTCGCCAAGTGTAGCTGTATTTAATGCTGTGCCCTGTGAAGAGGATTTGAGTTTATAGACACCTCTCTCTAATATGCCTTTAGCGACTACTCTCCCTTTCACCTCGCATTCATCAGCTAGGAAAATCTCACATCCTTTCTCCGAAAATACAACTACATTACCTCTACTCACTATGTTACTGACACTTAGTAAGTTAGTACTCAATTTAGGTACAAACAAGACATCGCTCACGTTTACACCTATTTGACTCGATACAGTACCTTTTCCTTCACCATACATCTTATCACCATTTGCACAGTTAACTTCCACTCTCTCAGACTTATCAAAACATTTGAATTCCTTAAACCAATCTCTTCTATTTGTCATATGTGTAGATGCTCCGGAGTCTAAGATCCATTCTTCATCCTGAGAATTTCCACTGACAGCAAAAACAAAAGCCTGCATAGCATCCTTCTTTTGTTTTGGGTTATTCGGACATTCAAAAGCCTTATGAGGTCCACCACAGATAAAACATTTGATTTGCTTCTTATATTTTTTCTTGTGAACCTTCTCTTTAGTCTTTTTGTTAATCAGTAGTGCAGAGTTATCCGGGGCATTACTCGAGCTCCCTGATGTATATGTGTCCTCCATTTGGAAAAGCTTCATCTTAATAAAATCTGTTGTTAATACTGTATTAGTATTTTCGAGCGCTAATCTCATTGGCTGAAAATTTTCAGTAAGTCCCTGAAGCATAAGAGCAGCTAGGAGCTCATCATCAATCTCCTTCCCAATATCGCTTAACTGCTGCGATATCGTCATAATAGTCGTTACGTAGTCTCTCACTGACGTAAATTGTTCTAACTTCAAACTTACTAATTTTGATAAAAGGCGACATCGGTTATTTATGCCTTTATCCTCAAAAGCAATTTTCAGTGCTTCCCATGCTTGTTTAGCTGTTTTGCATTCTCTAACATGTACTAAACAACGTGATTTCACCATTAGGCATATCTTAGCGCGAGCCTTCTGATCTCTTCTCACTCCTATTACATCATCATTCTCCGGTGATACCTGTGTGTATTTCCATAAATCGTCATGGAGAAGGTATAGCTCCATAGCAAATTTCCAACTGTTGTAATTGCTATTCCCATCGAGTTTTTCGATAGACGGTGGACTACCACTCTCATTATCGTTTGATGATGACGGTCTGTTATTCATGATTGAGTTTGCAATCGAACCATCACCATTACTTTCAATCATATTTTACCTTTTACTCCCAGCCCATAACCTGTTGGTATTTCTCTTTGTGATATCAGCTTATATTTCCGTAGTGGAAGGGAATAGGATAAACACAATATAAAAGTACGATAAAATTTAATAGAAGAGAAAATACAGAAAGGAACGATTGTTTCTAACAGTCAACTAAATTTAAAAACATATCTTTTTAAATTACAACCGGCCAGTAGTGCATAGTTGTATGAAAATAAACCTATTTCTAACAGTTATTGAATATCATTTTACGTCATTTATACTTAGTAGTCTATAGCTATTACATGAAATGACAGATTCTAATAATACATAATATTTTAAGAAAACAATAAGTAAATGTATAAAATTTTTAACCTTTTTTAACCTTTTCTGTAAATATACCTATAATATAAACTGAAAATAACATTTCGAGTGATGTAAACGTTCAAATGTAAAAAAAATCAATAGATTAACGAATCAGTAATCTTAAACCTCTTTCTTTTTAAGAAAGTGTCAATATGAAAAAAATATATTTTCATAATATTTTTATAATTAATTCAATAACATAAACATCACTTCCTCTTTATATATATATGATATATATATGATATATATATATATATATATATATATCAGTCATAGATACACATGTAAATATAATACAAAAGACAATTATTTTAATTAGTTTCACGCCTTTTTACGCCATCATTAACAGTTTTGTGCTTTTTAGGTTGATGATGTTTTCTTAACATACTTTAAATAATAGTAATGAATTCAAACTTTCTCTATATAAAAAGATCGATTCATCATACAAGATTATATATATTTCGAGAAATAATTTATTACCAAATATATAAGTACTTTATAAGAGATTTATTTTGTCTAGCATTGACGGTTTTAACTGCTATATAATACTGTATTTTATGCATATTGTATCTATAACGAAACCTATATAGGCAACTTGATGTCTTTGTAAAATGTCAGTTATTAGAAGCGAGGACTGTCGTTTTCAAAGATTTTCCTTGAATTGAGGAAACCTATTTAGATTTCTCGGACTATAAAAACAATGAGAGTAAATCTAGACTGTGAATTGGTGTCTTGTGTTTGATCAGTGTGGCTTGTATTTTATGTTAAAGGTAGTTGTACTTTTCAAAGTCCCTTTTTTGAATTTGTTTAGCCACGAATAAATATTATTTTTGTAAGCTTATTTTAAAATAATTTATAGTAATTTTATTTTAAAATTAATAAAATGCATCTATTAACCACATGGATTTACTGATACACTTATATTATTTGATGATTATGAAATATAGAGGTGTGCTCAGTTCGACCATATTATATTTAGTATGTTTGATACCAGAACTTAGCAAATTGTATATCGATTTCAATTATCATCATCATATCAGCCGTAACTGTCCACTACTGAATATATGTAGGTCTCCCCATACTGGGAGGTTTCGCCAGCAGTTGCGGCGCTTGGCTGGCGGGTTATCAAATTTCAAGGCATAAAATAGGCAAAAAAATCTTGTAATATTTACACAATTTTTTTTTATTAAAAGTATCTTAATTTGATCACATATAGAATTACCATATTTTAAGCTTCCTCTGTGTGATAATTGTATAAGAAATCATTGCGTCACTACTCTTTTTAATCTTCAAGATGTTATAATAGGTGGTTAATAGAACACAGTACAATACATCAGTGCTATAAATGGGAAATAAGGAATAACCTCCTACACTAACTTGCTTAGCTAGGCAAGTAATAGTATATAACGAGGAACAACCGTGCCTATAGCGGATTGTAAAAGAAGGTAACTAATTAAATTTTATTAAATTTGCTTCATTTTATATACAGATTCAATATGCGTGCTTTCTTCATTCTCGCCATTGTCGTGGTTGCTGTGTATGCTGTTGACTACGCTGCCATTTTGCAGGATGAGACAAGACTTAAGGCAGCAGTGGACTGTCTGTTGGACAGAGGACCTTGCGTCGAAGTACAGGAGTTAAAAGGTAACATTTATACACTATCATAATATAGTACTATTTTGAAATTTTTTAATGGATGTTAATGGAATGATAACCCTGCCTGCGCTAACGGTATATGCTGGCAGGGCACCAGTAAGGGATGATAGATGAGAAAGAAAGGCCAGTTAGCCCATCGTGATGAATATATCTGAAATTCAACATGATGGTTTCCAGGGGGGACCATGTGGAGGTCGACCTGATAGGGTATATTGCTAGCAATGTGACTGGTAGTTCTCATTATTAACAAACCCTCCCCCCCCCTAATATAGTACTTGTGATTACTCGTGGCTTTGTCTGGATGTATTATATTAAGTTGAGAAGTGTCCTGTGTTAATTTAATATATGGTCTATCTCTGTGCCAAATTTAATCAAATATGTTTAAACCTTTAAATATGTTATGTATTTTGTGTATGTTATTACCAACTAGGATTTTAAGTACATATATGCTATACTGTGTAAATTATTGTAGAATTACGTTTGTAATTAAAAAAATCCAAAATATATTAGTCTATTTAGATCTATTAATATTTTATTTACACTTATTAAAAAAGTTTAGCATATAGTTATACGATCTACTTGTTTTTTGCTAATCCAATTACAGGATAAAACATGAAAGTGTGTGATGAGAACGTTTTAATTATGTGAATCAGATCAAGTCTTTGATTAACACTTAGATTATTTTTTTTACTGTAATAATGCGTTTTTTTAAAGGATGTGGTTTGAGATTGGGTTAAAGTTGTTATTTAAACGCATGAGGGTTTAAATAACAACTTTAACACGTAATTTTCATAATTTTTTTTTATGCAACTTAGAATGGCAAACAAGCTGACGGTTCACCTAAGGAAAGTGGTAACCGTCGCCTATAGGCTTGAGCAGTACCATGGACATAACAGAGTATACTGTTTCACCCATGATACCCCCCATGTGTTGCCATTCCTAAGGACTCAGGTGTTATTCCTCTGGGCCCTGTAAATCAACTGCCATGTCCCATCTTTCAAACCGAAACACAGCCATGTAAACACAACTGCTTTACGGTAGAAAGAGAAATGGGACAGAGGTGCACAAGCAAACGACTTTTGTACAAGGTCTCCCTCTTAATCGAATTCTCTAAATTTAATTATCATCTAGTTTGCTATGCCAAATTGCACCTAAAAGAAATTTTACTGAATTATTTACATAACATGTATCGTGTGGTCCTGGCACAGAATAGGCCACTCCTTCCTGTCCCGTGGGTGTCGTCAGAGCCGATTAAGAGAGGGCGAGGGAGGAAGGCAGTGAGATTCGCAATCGCAGTTGCCATTTCGCCTGCCAAGCTTGGCATCTTCTGGCGAAACCCTCCCAAGAGGGAGGCTTATGTTTAGCAGTATACATTTAAAGGCTGAGTAGATCATGATTTAGATAACACAAAATATATCATTTAACTTTATTAATCGGTAAAACGTGATATAAAATACGAGCGTAGTGATAATAACATTCTTTACCAGCCTTTAATATTGAAATTAAATCTAGGTATTTATTTAAATATAGTAGGTACTAGGATTATTATACCTAACGTGTTTTGTAAACATTTAAATATTTTCTTTTGTTCACAGACAAATTCCCTCAATTAGTCGCAACTGACTGCGGCTCTTGCACACCAGAACAAAAAATTAGATTCGAAATAGCAAAGAAGATTATACAGGATAATTACCCTGCAGACTTTGAAGCACTGAAGGCTAAATATCTACCCAGCTCATAAACACTATTACGTTGTCTGTAATTGTAATAAAACATTGCCAGTAATAGATCTGTTGTTTGAATTACACTAGAAATTATGAGTAATAAAATTAAAAGTAATAACAAAACTAATCACTCTTCAACGTATACACATAATACAGATTATGTTTATACTTCGCAAATACTACTTAGTTTAATAGTTCATTTTTCTTTCGTCTATAATTTTTGTAATTTAAGAAACAAACATAAACTTGAAAACCATTGTTTATAGAATATAATTTTAACCCCAGCTGAACAATATATCTCTATCACACAGACAAATATACGGCTTAAAACATGTATACATGTAACATGCTGCTATTCAAAATTGAAAGGCGCTTTTTTATATGCATCATTATTAGGGCCGTCTTCACCTTTAAGTTTTACTTATTTATTTGCACTTATCATATTTAAGAATATAATTTTACGTAAACAAAACTGAAGTTTATCTAAGCAACTGTATCAACTCTGCATAGTAATTTGTTGTGACGTTATAGAAAAACATTATTTCTATAAATTTATCAATTGTAGTTTGATATCATTATTTTTAGAGTAAATGTACTTATATTGATATTAGTTTTATTTAAAAGTTAACAATTTAAAAAAATAATAATAAAAATGATAAAAGATGTTTTTATTGCGGTTTTAAGAGTATATAATGACTGTAAATAAATATATCAAACATTATTTTAAATAAAGGACCTCAAAATAATACTGCATTATAGTGAAGAAATAAAAGTCAATTATGTCATGTCATGTTAGTCATGGTACCTTCTTAATAGTAGCATTGAGTAATGTATTATTTTATTTATAAAATTTAAATTTTTCATACTTATTTATTCAGTTACTTCTAAGTACTTTAAATATAGATAACAAGACCTAAAATATTACATAAAGATAAAAAAATTCTTTGAGTATTGCCAACTGGTAGGGCACGTAGGAGACTTTCAGTTACTTATATTTTAAATTTCTCTTATGTTTAAAAATAGATATCATTTTTATGTGACTAGGCATTCAGTACATTTAACATTTAAAATAAACAGTACGAGAATATTACTCAAGGCCTGCCAGCAATATAACCAATACAATCTATAATATAAAATGACGTCGACAGCATTTATCACAAGCTCTAGTGCCTAGTACTTAAAAAACAAGAACAATAGTAGTTACATGGATTGTTGCGTTTGACGCATTGTTTAGTAGGAAATTTCCTTTTATATTTTGTAATTTATTTTTCAAAGCATGATTAACCTTTCATTATGCATTATTTACTTCGCGTTATTGATTATATTGGATACTGTTCTTGTAAAGTGAACAATTATGACAATTTAGATGTAGAATGTTTATACTAACAAATAATATAAAACCAAAAAGGTTATTTCAATGTATAAATAGTGAAAAGAGATGTTCTGACGAAGATAAGATTATTAAACGTAAGCAATATAGAAAATATCTTTTGTAATGTATACAATTTCAAAATTATTTTATGGTAAAGCGATTTGAAAAAAAAAAACGAGAATAATTTTTCACTTGATTTTACTCGACTGTAACTTACATATAATAATATACTGTTTTTGTAGGGTTCACAGTACTAATCATCATGCTCGTATCACTGTCACTATGGAATACATAAAAACATTTAAGTTACTGGCCTTTATGATCTTATTGAATTTTAATTAATTTTGACAAATGTTAAGCATCTGTGTTGTATAACTATTTCGGTATTTAAAAGTAATTTCAATTTGAGACTTCTGACTTCCTGAGGCTGTCTTATTTTCCTCCATACCTCCATACCATTCAGGAAGAGCTACATATGAAGGATTATTGCCCCGATTAACTTTCGTTTCAGCCACGGTCATGCACTGTATTCTTTGATACCCATATTATAGGCGACGGTTATCACCTTACATTAGATCAGTCATGTTTGTCACTGCTAGTTGTATTTATAAAAAAAATATTCCAGATATCATTATAGAAATGGTGAATACGTCGTATGCCAACTGCACTGTAATAGAAAAAGCGAAGTTTGAAAAATTTATGCCGACATTACCAAGATCTATGGACGAATCAAACATTCTGAGAGCTCTTGTCATACAAGTTGTTGGCATGTTTATTGACGATTTTAAAATAAATATAATTTTAACATTTGTTTACGCGAATATTTAATTAATCGACATGTTTATTTTGTACATTGATCATGAAAAATCGTCCGATATTATATAAATATCTTATTGCCGCTTTCATTTGTATTCTAAAAACTAAAGAAAATAAAAAAAAATATTATTGAATAATAAAATAATAATGGTATTATTAAACTATTCTTGAAGTCTATCATAGCGGTGATATATTATTTATAAGTTCAAAAATGAAGAAAACAAATAATCCGTCTAACTAAATTAAAAATTTAATGCAGTTGCAATACCTCTGGTATTGCAGGTGTTCATAGGCTACGGTAACCACTTACCATCAGGTGGGCCGTATGCTTGTTTGCCACCTCAGTGGTATAAAAAAAGTTAAATCGCAAGTATTGTCCTTAATTTATGCATAAAAATGATACTTGTCAATTTATTACTTTTGTATGTGAATAAATGAACAAACTACTCGATTAGTGGAAAATATAGCAAGTCACGTGAATCAGTGAAGTGGATTAGGGAAACATACATACAAATTTTGAATTGATTTTTGTTTGTTTTTCCTGTATAATTTGCTAGAACACATATAGATTCACTAGTTATTTCTCAGTACATAGACGATTAAGACTATATTAGTACTGAATTACTAATTGCGACCTAGTGTCCTTTGGACGTTATACCTATAATTATAGGATTATATATAATTATATCAAGCAGATATTTTTTATGAGTATCCGTATTTAGTGCTAGCTGTAACCCATGGCTTTGTCCGTGCGAATATGGATAAAAAGTATTCCATATACATTACGTATTATATTAATATACAGGACGTTTTTATTATTTTATCAATACTATTAATTAAGGAAATGGCCATTCAAATCTGTTCAGCTGTTAAAATATGGTAGAGTAAGGAGGATGTTCCTTACTTTAAAAACACTTATATTTAAATAACACTAGTTTTTACAAGTGACTTCGTCCGCGTGATCGAGTTATATTCCATCCCAAATAATATGCAAATACCAAATTTGATCGCAATCAGTTCAACTGTTATAACGTCAAAAAAGCATAAGCTTATTGACAATAAAATTCTTAATATAATAATATATTTATTTAGCATGTATTTATTTGCATCGCATAAAAGTTTATCATAATAAACGAATCATTATACTTGCATATAAATGCTAAATACCTAACTGCGGCCGCAGTTTACGACGAATTTACCGTTCTTGGACCGTATGGAGACCCAGTTTTAAGTTGCCCATTGGATTCTCAAAGGATTGAAGCAACAGTTGAGAAAGTTATATTGCTTGTTCTTTTGAAAATTATTACAAAAGATAACGTTATACAGCACTTAATAGCGGTACTTATTATTGACTAGTAGTCTATATTACTAGCAGTAATAAATATCACTGGACATACTACAATATATATCAGTGTCATCTAGTCCCAAACTGGGTTGAGCTTATACTATAGGTACTAGACAGTTGACATACTAAAATGCTTTCATTTAATGTAAATATATTTTATATAAAAACATCCAGACAAATATAAACAGACATAGGTACATATGAATACAAAATTTGTAAGTTCGGGAGTTGAACCTGTTATATTACTAAAATCAAAACTGTCTTACCACATTACCAGAGGGAGACTTTGTACAAAAGTCGATTGCTTAGGTACCTCTGTCCCATTCGTGTTTCAACCGTGAAGCAGTTGTGTTTGCATGGCTGTGTTTCGGTTTGAAGGGTGGGATATGGCGTGAATTTACTGGGCACAGAGGAATAACATCTGAGTCCTTAGGCAACGCATGGGGGGTATCATGGGCGAAACAGTATACTGTGTTATGTCCATGGTACTGCTCATGTCTATAGGCGACGGTTACCACTTTCCATCAGGTGGACCGTCAGCTTGTTTGTCATTCTAAGTTGTATAAAAAAAAATCATTAACATATACTGCTAGACTCGGACATCTATAAGAGGATATGAGCTGGCCAGACGGTTTGGTTTAACGTTTTGTGTTTTAATTTATAGGTTTAAAACCAATACCTTGAGTAACATGAATAAAATCATATTACGCCGACTTCAAATAATTGGGATAAAGCAGGAAGACGATGACCTGTGCTTCTACCGTTAGTTCTTTTACGCTATCCTGGAGATGAAAGAATTTGTAACACTGCATTTTTACATTGCTACAACATGGAGATGGGTCCATGTATACAAATAAACAAATTGTTGAAGAGTACAAATATTTTTTTAGCATCCTTAATCTATGGTGTTAACCTCTCTAAAACTTCTTTCCAATTTATAAATAAAATGTGGACTGTTTCAAAATAGGTTAATAATATAATAGCAGAAACGCACAATAGCCGATTATAACCCAATTAAATAAAATAATTATATATAAAAACAGTATTATCATAAAATAATAAATAAATATTATCATAAAATGAGTTCATTTGCATTGTGTCACCTCTTGTCTGTGTCACCTCTTGTCTGTGTAACTCATATGAGTCGGTAACTCATATGTAACTCATATGATAACCTGTTTCGGGTTCAGGGTTAATGTGATAAAATCTACCTACATTTTTATAAATAAAATTAACCATAGATATTGATTATGATTTTGATAGGTGTATATTTATTTACTTTTTAACATAACGAATGATTGCTTATTTGGTTCCGTACGTATGTGAAAGTTTGTAAAATTTTAATATTAAGATAATTGAACGTATGTGTTTATTACTCATGCATGTTTTAACGACTAAATGGATTCAAATGAAACTTGTGGATTACTTTTTACAGTCGAGAAAAGCTGCGAGATATAGGTAGTATATTATGAAGTAACACACAAAATGTTATTTCATGTTTAGTAACTATTTTGTATGTCAAAAATAGTTTCATATATAAATAATATAAATAACATAAATATTTATATGTATATATATATATATATATATATATATATATATATATATATATATATATATATATATATATATATATATATATATATATGTGTGTGTGTGTGTGTGTGTGTCTCCTTCCCTTATGCTGTAGACGGAGGCATTTACGAGTATACTATTATTATATATTTACGAATGTAGTCAGAAATATTATAAAGTCCGTTCTCGTATTCCGCGCCGATCCCCGAGAACACGTTAGACGGCAGCTTTCTTTAGTTCCGGAGAGTGCATGTTTTGTATGCGGCCCGATACATCGACCTCTTCCTTCACTAGACTGGTTCCACCACCACTGGTGACCATACCGCCGGCGACCGCCGCACCCGGAGGACTTACTAACTTTCTCCGATAAGTGAGTACTTTTTTCTTCAATAACATCACTTAGAAAGTAATTTGTGAACTGTGAAAGTGTATGCAAATGTGCTAGTGTTTGACGGGCCACTGGGTTCTTGATTGGATGATTCAGGTATATTATGGGTATTAAATTGTATATGATTAGTAAATAGTTGTTATTATGGACTCCTATGATTTGTTTTTCTATATAATTGTATTTTTTGTGTGTATGTATTTATGTATTACATGTATTCGTGTTTCTGAACGTATGTAGGTAGATACCTATTTACTTATTTTGATAAATATTTTTAGAGTACAATAAGTTATAACACCATCATATTATTAAGTTTTGGAGTGGCTGAATAAGTTTATAATCATTATTGACATTTTATATGTAATTCTTCAATATTATTCATTAATTATATTATAATATAATAAATAATAATAAATGATAACAATATTTATGATTATTATACATTTTAAAACCTCATTGTTATACGGTAAATGTAAATAATACATTAAAATAAACAATTTTAACAATTAAAAATAATTAAAAAAGTTACTAAATTGCAAAGAGATATAAATCAATCAATGTGTTGTTATAATTATACATTTCTAATATTTTTTTTATAACATTTGTGTTTGTTATTACCAGCCTGCTGTTATAAAACATGAGGGGTTTCCTGCTCTACCTGTGTGCATTGACTGCAGTGACATTAAGTGCTGCTCAATATTATAATCGTTACGAGAATGTAAACGCAGATGTAATCATACAGAACGAGAGGATACTACTCGCATATTACAAATGTGTGATGGACAAAGGACCCTGTAATAAGGATGGCAAGAATTTTAAAAGTAAGTTTCAATTATTATGAATACGTGGAGCCTAATTCCTAGCGTAGAGTGCCTAAAACCTGACGGTTTTACAGACTAAATTGAGCTACTCTGCAAATTGACGAGATGCATGTGACCTAAATTATTTATGTTTTTAGGAGTTTGCTGCTACAAGCTCTTTAAATAATTAGTAGGATATTTTTTTATACCACTGAAGAGGCGAATAAAACTGTCTGATGGTAAGCAGATAATATATATAATAATAGCTTAGAAGAGGAAAGACATTGTTAGTAATGTGGAATACCAGTCCCATTGCTAGCGATATACCCTGACAGGTCGGGGGGAAAGGGGTTGTTAGTAATCGGGCTTAACTGCCCCGTTGCTAGTAATATACCCTAATAGGTCGACCACCACGTGGTTCCCCCTGGAATCCATCGTGGTTAATTTTAGTGGAATTATCAAGATGGGCTGACTGACTTGCCTCACCAATCATCCCTCACTGGTGCCCTGCCAGTGTATACCGATTGCGCGAGCAGGGTTACCATTTCTTTAACATTCATTAAAAAAAATCCTGACAGGTCGACCTCCCCTGCAAAGCATCGCACTGAATTCCAAGTGTATTTTTCACGTTGAGATAATTGACCTGTCATTTCTTTCACACTTATCATCCTTCTCTGGTGCCCCGCCTGCGCTAACGGCCTACGCTGGCGAATAAGCCTACCATTTCATTATCATCTATTAAAAAAAATAGCAGTAGGGGCAGTGAATGTTTGTAACAGACACTGAAAATATCTTTTCATATTTTTTGAAGAATAGAATTATTAATAATAAATAATAATATTAATTCATTAATTAATTATAATATTATTAATTATTTTTGTATAGCTCTAATCTCTTAGAGAAAATTATACAACGAGCTTATTCTACAAACTAAACGTTTGCGGAAACAACGCACTTCCTAATGAACTATATTTATTTACCTGTCTATTTAGACGTACATAAAAATTGTATTGGAAATACGATCTTGATAACTTACGACTGGGCATGGAATACCATAAATTATTTAATCGAACTGACACGGCTTCAAAGTCCATAGTTATTTGCTAGTTGCTAACTAAACTTATTATGACTATTAATTAAATTAATAAGAACGAAACTTTAGAGAAATACAGAAAGTATTTCCCTAAAGTTGACTTAATATTAAGTCTTGCTTTTGCATCAGGTACGTAGTAAAACTAGTCTATATTTATTAAATAAATAAATAAATTAATTAAGTATTTTATATTTTTACGATTACAGAAGTACTTCCTGAGACACTGTCGACAGCCTGTGGGCGTTGTAATCCAGTTCAGAAGATGGTTGTTCGCAAGTTATTAAATGGCATTAGGGCAAAAAGCGAATCCCGTTTTCTCGATCTTCTCGACAAGTACGATCCAAAACGCACTAACAGAGATGCTCTATACGACTTCTTAGCCACTGGTGCATAATTGATATACTTACTATTAAAATATACTAATATAAAAGAAAGGGTGCTGCGTGAAAGCTAAGTTTGTCAGTGAATTAAATCATACGGACATTTATATTTAAACCCTGCAGGGAAATGCATTTATGATCTTAATTATTCTTAATTTATTAATTATATCTAAATACTCGTATATTTAATTGTATTAAATTGTAAGTGATATTGTAATATCGTTTTATTGATTAGTAGATTGCCATTATCGATATTATAAACGTCATTTGTGGTCAATATGTACGTGAACATAATAGCTTTATAGCTTTAATTGACATTGGATTCTTTGATTCGGCAATAATGGTTCAAGTAATCTAGTTAATAGTGACATATGCCAAGCATCTATCTTCCGAGAATTTTAAAACCTTGAATCGCCCATATAAATAATTAAAAGATGGAAAAATATAGTCATATAGCATTTGTTAGGCAGATAGGAAACATAATTACTTCAAGCTCTATCTAGAATGTTTGTTCTTATAACTTTGTGTTTACTTGGAGCCGCAATAGCTCAAGAAAAATATGACTCGATAGATGACAATTTTGATATATCTGAAGTATTGGGGAATGACAGACTATTACAGGCTTATTCACGGTGTTTGTTAAACAAAGGACCTTGTACACCAGAAATAAAAAAAGTAAAAGGTAAGATAAATATTAAACTTAAAATATTTATTCTAATTATGAACTATAACTTAAATTAGTACAATAATTTATTGTTATCTGAAATCAAATATTTCCCTTTGCATTTATTTTAAATACAGTTTTGAATTACGACGTATTTTTATATTAGATAATGATAAATTATGATCTGGGATTTGGATTGGAAGGATTGACTTAAATTCTTTTAAGGCTCGTCTAAATGTTTCATAGGAGATTAGGCCTTCATTGTGATACTTTTTAGCATTTTCCCAAACATTAGTAAATTTTTCGTGTGGTAATTTTTGCCAATAGCTTCAAATATTGTTCTTATAACTTATGGCTTGCATGATGACTGACACCAGTAAGAGTTAGTAGACTAGGGTATAAGCATGCTTTTGCGTCTGTTTCATGAGGAAGATAAGTTGTGTCTGCTTTATATAAACATTTAGGTGTACTAGGTAATCAACATCGAAATACCGTTCGGATTCAGGTATACCACCTGCCATTGATTTTTTCCCAATATCTTGATTCGACTTTACCATATTTGTATAAGTTTTTTTTTTTTTTATTTAAACATTCATAAGATACATCAAGTATTTTAGAAAGTTCAGGAGAGAGTTCTGAATTTTTTATCAAGTAAATAAATACTTTATAATTAATCATAGAGCTTTGAATATGAGCTTTTGAGAAGGGGTTCTATTAATGTTGGATTAATTCGAATATACTTAATAGCACAACATTTATAGATAATATTTTGCAGCAGTCATCCTGATTTATCTATATCTAAATGATTTAAATTTAAGTATAATTCTTAAAAAATGCCTTAGCTTGGGTTTATCCAAAAACAATTGGGTTTGGTTGTACTGTATTTAGAGGTTTTGCTAAAGTGGTGCCTGGAAATATTCTATCATCAGATAAGCAACATTTAACATATATACCTCTTTTATCCATATTGGATTTGATACCAATATAAGTATTAAAATTGTATGATGGTTTACAGTAATTGTATTGTACTTGATAGCCTTGTAATTTCGAAGAGGGTGTCATGTAATAAAGAAATGAATAAATAAAATAAATAAATATCAATCAAGAGTTTCAAAGGCATTACATTAGTATAAATTATATGTAAGTTTATTTTGTGTAATAATGCAAAAATTAAGACGTAACTAACAAATAATTACTTCATTTTTTAACTTGAAAAAATACAAATAATAACACATGATATTAGCTCTAATAAAGAATATAATAAATATATAATATAATAAAAATCAGGAAAATAAGATAATATTAATAAATAAATAATATTATAAAAACAAGAAAATAAGATAATATTAATAAATACATAATATTATAAAAAAAAACTTACCTCCTCCTTTCGAGTTCTCAAAGTTGACTAGAAGAAATACTTTCAAGGGATATGGCCACTTTTTATAACCTGTTAAAACAAATTTCAAATACGAATGTACATTAAAACTTACACAAACAAGCAAACGCATATAAATAGACACTTAGATTTGCTTTGATCTTATTAATAAAGAATGTATCTAGGACTAGAGACTAAATAAATAAATATCATTATAATCATATCTTTTTAAATATATGTTTTACTAGTATAAAAGCGCCTACAAAATAAATTTTGGCAATATATTAATGCTGGGATATGGCTGTGAATATATTGGGTATGGCGGCCTTGGTCTTCAAAAAGCGCAATGCTTAAAGGTTACTAAGAATGACATAGTGGTATGTGATATCTATGATTCGTTCGTCTTTTGTCCGTATCTATAAATGTACTGAGTATATAACATTTTTAATTTCAGAAAGAATACCAGAAATACTAGAGACAAGATGTGCCAAATGTACTGATAAGCAAAAGAAGATGGGTAAGCAATTAGTGCAGGAAGTGAAAAAGACACATCCCGAAATTTGGAAAGAATTTGTAGCTAAATATGATCCAAATGGCAAATATCAACAAGCTTTTCAAGATTTTCTTAAGTCATAAATAAAACTTATAAATGTATTAGAAGATATAATTGTATCTATAGACAACAAAGGCGGTTTCTATTTAATGGTATATAAAATAAAATATATATAGTTTAATTATACCTATATTTTAAATAAACAGATTTTTATTTTGACTTACATTTTATTCTATTTAAGCATATTCAAAAGAGTATAAAAACATATATGATACAAAAAGAAATGAAGGGAATGTTATTAAATTAGTTTATTTTGTTTTCTTCATTTTCCGATTTCAGATATGCCTCTAAAGCTCGTCTAAATGTTTCATAACAAACCCATCCCTGTGAATGATATTTTTTTGCATTTTTCCATATTGCATTAAAAGTGTCATCACAAAATTTTTCTCCAGTGGCTTCAAAAACTCTTTTTACTACATGTGGCTCGCGTTTAGCGTACATATCACGATGATTAACATGAAGAAAAGTTAAAACAGACGGAGATAAACAGGACTTCATATCTGATTCATGTGGAAGACATATTGTATCTGCTTTGCAACATTTTTCAGGACTGATTGGATAGTCTAAATCAAGATAACGACCAGACGGTAATCCTGCCATAGGTCTCTGATCGGCTTTTTGTCCAGTTTTTACCATTTTAGTATATGTTGTATTAAAATTAAGGCAGTGTTTTTGTAAATCAGGTATTTTAGGTATTTCGGGAAAAGGCTCTCTGTAATTAATGACATTAACAAAAATTTTATATTCTATTCTTGTGCCATCAAATGCTTGCCATAATGACAATAAGGGTTCAATTAATGTTGGATCAAATCTTATCAATTTAGTTCCACAATAATTATATACTACTTCTTTTGGGAGCCATCCAGATTTATCTTTGTTAAAATGTTTTAAATTTAAGTAAAATCCATTAAAGAACGTTGGTAAGAAACGAGTAGATAAAGATTTACGCAGAGTGTTCAGATGCTTTAAGCATTTATGGAAATGATCTCGACCAGGATTTAATTCACAAAGTGTGAGACATTCTGGTAAATTGTCGGGGGGCTTTAGTTTACCAAAACAGAAATCTTTAGGTACATTTTTTATATTTTCATTTGGTGCTGAAACGATGCCAATTCTAGATTGCTTTGTATCTAGAAAATTTGCTTGTATACTATTTACAATCGTTCGATTTCCTGTTCCTTCAAAAACTTTGTTATCAGTCAAACAACATTTTACATAAGAACCTCGTTTATCCACATAAGTTCTATGCCCATAGGTTAAATCGGAATCAAATGACGGTTTACAGTAATTATATTTACGTTGTTCTCCTGGACGCTTTGATGGAGGTGTTTTATCTGGATATGGATTCTTTGGCATTACAATATCATATAAGCGTCCATGAAATGGAGTTCTCCTTCCAAATGTTATTCCAAATACATCAAATCCCTCTGGCAACATTGGAACTGAATCGTGCACGCATCCAAGAGGTCTTTTCCAATAAGATGAATATGCGGTATCTTTTAAATCGTCTGTTAGAGATTGAAATTTAGTTTTATTGGGTGGGTTAACAATCTCAGCAACGTCACAAAATAGACCAGCATTTCGCTTATCAGGTTGTATAGGATGGTGCAATGGAGGAAGAGGACGTGTTTTGTCTGCTGGAATAATAGCGTCAGAAATAAGAGAGTCCGCTTCGTCTTTTAACAGGTAATGTTGCAGGGAATCTTTTACGTGATCATCAGGTTGCGCTGTAGGTAGACCAGCTGCGCATAGATTCGGACTTCTTTTTATGAACATTCCATAATTGCCTTTCCCACCACAAGTGGATCTCTGACAATCTACAGGCATGTCAAGGTATATTTTGATTAAATATTATAAAAACATATTTGTAAAATTAGATTTTCCAAATGACATATTATGTCAAAATAATGACGACTATTAATGATCAAAATAAAATATTTTATGTGTAAGAACGCACCTAGATTAAGAATATATGTAGTCTTTACAGTAAATATTGAAATATTAATGCTATATAATATAGTAATTCGTTTCAGTATAAATATAAAAAAAAAAATTAAATGAATTTTAGAGAAAATGCCAAAAGTTTTATTAGTGTTGTATGATAAAATATAGGTATTGCACTTGTGCAGTGATCTTAACTGGCCAGTAAATGTTGCTAATCACGTAGATGTGCAGTACTTAGCAATGTGTACATTAGAATTACATCCATAACTCTAGAATGGTAATTGTAGGCTATATTTACTCCATAGCCAATTAGGGATAATGACAACCGGCTTTATATAAGAAAGAAGATTGCTTCCTGATTTTTTAGTTTTATAAGCACAAGAGTTCAAAGAAGTGAAGTGTTAACATGTGGTAGGTATTATTTAATAGAATTCTAAATTGTTGTTGTTGTTGTATCAGTCGATTGTCCACTGCTGAACATAGCCTTTCTCATAGGGGGAATTTTGCAAGTAGTTGCCACGCTTGGAAAGCAGGTTGCTAACCGCAGTTTGGATTTTAGTGATGTTTTAAGAGAAACGCTGCTGCCCATCCCGCTACTATAAGCTCCTTTAGTTGCCTCTTACCCACGGGAGAGGAAGGAGTGGCCTATTCTATACCGGGACCTACACCGCTATTTTCAATATTTCAAGTAATAATTCTAAATAGTATAAAGGATAAAATACATATTCTTAAAATAAAGACACTAATGATTATCTGTTTGAAGTATAGTTTCTATTTGATTTGATTGTCACAACTAAGTTTGACCATACAACTATTTTTTTACTATTTATATATTTATTTATTTTATTTTTATTTTTTTTACATGTGCATATATATCTTTGAATTTCAAATATCTTCATTATTGTTTAAAAAGCCTTGCTTTAATAATAATTATGACTACTACGGTGGTCAGGATAGTCCGTTATTAGATATCCCCTATTCTAGGTTGGAGCAACTTACAGTGGGGGACATTTTATTTTGATATTTTCTGCGACAGATTTTGTTTATATTTGCCAGGTTAGTTGGCAATGTATGCCGTTTAATGGTCAGTTAGATTTTTCAGATTTTTCTACTTAGCTCCTATGGGTTCATAAAATAATAACGTTCCTTTAAAAGTAGGTACATTCCTTGTCATTATCATATCATCCGTTATCCATCCACTGCTAAACATAAGCCTTTGCCATAGACTGTCATAAGGAACGGCCTCCACCTGCAAATATATACCTACTGTTAACTTATTTAGCATAGCTAAAACTTTCTTCTACTATAGTTCTTGTGTGGAAAGTGAAAGCCCTTTCTTTGTATTTACAAAAATAAATAAGTAATTATTAGTGTAATTTAAATAATCTTACCTATCTGCATAATGCATTCCTTTGAAGATCATTTAAAAACTACATTCTGTACGATTTCATATTGTAATTAAATCAAACTAGTGGTTTCAGAAATTATTCATCTGATAAATTATAATAAAAGTTTTAAAATATAAAATTTCGTTAAAAACTATACAGTCGTACCTTGTTCCAATTACTGATGTGGGTTCCATTGCTTATTTCGAGCCTCCCGAATTTTTATAAAATAGGTAAGTGTACAGACTTTAAAATCCAAATTTTTTTAACGTATAAATTAATTAATTTCAGTTCACCATGATTTTAGTGTACATTATTTTTGTTGGAATATTATCAGCTAAAGTTTCTGCTGATTTGTATAACCCCCGGTATGATGATTTCGACGTAGACCCACTTATTGAAAATGATAGAATACTAGTTGGTTACACTAAATGTTTTCTCGACAAGGGGCCATGCACTCCTGATGCTAAGGATTTTAAAAGTACGTATGTTATTTATTATTATATATATATATATATATATATATACAAGAATAATATATATTAAATAAATAAATAAATATTTATTATTTTAACTTATTTTGTTTATGTAATAATTTAATGTATATTTGTAATTACATTGTAATATTTACTTACTGGGGACTTTATACAGAGGTCGCCTACATGGGTTTTTACTTGTATTTTTGTGTGTTTGTGTGCTCCTGTTTGTAGGGTTGCCAGATACGATTTTTTATTTCTATCTAAATGCTAATGCTAAATTTTTTTTTTCAAATCGATAAGATTTCCTTTTACTTTTACCCAAACTCTATTTCCACTATATAATGGAAATGTAGAATGTTTTATTATGTATTATAAAATAAACGACGAAAAAAAAATACACAATCACAAACTGTTTTCACTTCTTTTACGCCGCTTTTACGTTCAGTTATTTTATCCCATTCTCTGATTTGCTGCCTTCATTGTTCAAAACTGTCAGAAAAAATTACCCAAATTTCTCAAATATTTCATTTCTCCAAAATTTTGCGAACAGAAATTATTTTATCAAAAATTGCGAAAAATATACTCAATCTGTCAACGTTGCTTCTATGACTAGTATATACTATCCTTAGATTTTATAGATAGAGTATCGAACCTAAAAAATGAGTCAACTTTTTGTCAGCCAATTATGAAATTAGCTGACTTGTTTTTTTTTTTTTATCAGTGTTCTATATACTTTCGTATAGAGTGTATCTTGACGTATCTATATTTAATTATTTATTAATAAAACGAGATTTGGTGCATTAAAAAGGTGTAGAATTTATAAAACAAAATATAGAAGTTATAAAGGAGTCACCCATAACTATTTATCATGCAAAATTGTATAAAAAAGTTGGCCCACTTTTCTCTAAATATTTGTATGGAGACTATCTATATAATAAGATACTATCATATGGTGATAATGGAATGGTGACCCCGCTTGCGCTATCGATATACGCTGGAATGGTAGTAGTAACATTATGTATCGGGTATGGAGTTATGAAATCTAACCCTTTATTCTTAAAAACAAAAATCTCGTACAAACCTAATTTACCTATTAAAGTGAGTTGACATTTTCTTTCAAATTGAGAATTTAGCGCTAAAAACATAACACTTTAATAGCTAAAATAGGTTTACGAGAGATTTGACGTGTTTATGATGAAGGGGGCATATCTTTAGGGATAACTACATATATGAAGTACCATAATTAAGTGGGGTAAAATATAGAATGTTATTTACTCCAGGATATAGATGGAATACATGTTACACACATGTAGTAAATCATCTCTTTTCTAACATCTGATGTAGTTTCTTCACGTAAAAAATCTTGAGATGTTATTTATATATTTTAATGCATTTTTTTTTATACAGAAATAATACCCGAAGCCTTAGAAACATCATGTGGAAAATGTACTCTCAAACAAAAACAGCTTATCAAAAAAGTAATAAGAGCCATAATGGAGAGACATCCAGAAGCCTGGAGTCAGCTTGTTGATAAATATGACAAGGACAAAAAATATAGAGATAATTTTAATAAATTCATAGAGGAAAAAGACTAAATTTACTTAAGTGACTATGCTTATGAGTTTTTAGACGTAAATCATTCAGCTTACATATAGTATATTTCCACTGTAGTAATAACTGCATGCAATTTCAAGTTATAATGGAAAATAATCTGATACTGTGACGCAAGTATGACGTATTTGTGTAATAATTTACAGTGTAAATTACTATCTGTATTCAAAAGACATATTATGTGGAAAAATGGTAATATTGTTAATATTATTCATTTTGTATTTTTACAATAATTGTAAAATAAACAACAATATAAAAATAAACTTATTTTTATATAAAAACCGCTATTTTAAAATATTCTACTAATATATAACTTGTTACGAAAACTTGTAACGTACCGTACTACTCACCTTGAAGATTTCCAGCTGAAGACAAAACAATTAAAGGAAACGACTAACATAATCAATTCATTAATATAATTAAATATATTATGTTAAAAATATGAAATTATTAAAAATTTTTAATAAAACAAAACGTTAGCATTTAGTTTCGTAGTTTTTATTTAACCAATATCAATATCCCTAATTTTCATCACAGTTATATCATGTGGTACATTATAAACATTGGATTTACCACGTAATTAAAAGAATATACGTATATAACTAAGGTTTACATAACAATATGTTTATTCACTAAGTGCATTCAGTTTGTCCTTGTATCTTTGCTCGTAGATGCTATCAGGATCGTACCTTACTTTAAGTTCTTTCCAAAGTTCCGGGCGTTTGTTCACTAAGAAACGTATGACTTTATCGGAACTAGTCTTTTGTTTTGCTGTGCATTTGGAGCAGTCGAATTCCAATGCATCAGGTATGGTTTCTTTTAAGGCTTTGCCGTCTGGAGTGCATCGACCTTTGTCAAGAAGACAGTCTACGTATCCTCTGAGTAGCCGCTGAGATTCCAGTATCTCGTCGACATTGATGTGATCCCATTTGTCAGTATATGTGGAGCCTGGTTTTGCGTATACCGACGCCACTACCACGACAGATAGGACTAGCAGTAACTTCATTATTGATCTGAAAATTAATGGGCTTTATTTAATTGTCTATAGGAATGAAAATGCTCCTGTATAAAATGTTATCATTATTTTAGCGGTTAATACTGTTTTTTACATTGCTGAATTTCAAACTCCCTAAAAAGACTGGCACAAGGAATGGTCTTGAACTATCTGCATGCTATGTGTAAAGAGAAAATTGAAATGTATTTTACATTTCAAGAAGTTAAATTAGCGAAATTGAATTTTATATGTCTGTGATGATTTCATGTACAATATTATAAAATATATGAGCACATGTACCCCAATAATGTACCTAGTCAGAGGTATTTTTTTGGAAATGAAAATGGAATTGTAACTCCATCATCGCTATCAATATACGCATACGCCGGTGGTGTACCAATGAAGAATGATAGATAAAGGCAAAGTTAGATCAATATAATCTATCATGGTTAATTCTTCGAAAGTTAACCACGTTGGTTTCTGTGTTGAGGTCGACCTAATGGGGAATATTGATAGCAGTATGGCGCTGAATAAAAAAAAATGGGGACACTAGACACCATTTCTCTAGTCAGAGGTATTTCGTGTCTATTGTGGTGAATATATTTTGTGGAGTAAGGTAAGGAGTATTAGAAGAATATTTTTATTGTAAGTAAGGGATTAATAATAAATAACAAAGACAAGAAAAGACATTTAATGCATTTTGTAGTCGTCTAGAACTAGAATACTTTTTTTTTTAATTATCTCTTCTTGTAAAAGAACTGGTTAAACTTAAACGAGCTGTTGCGTAATTTAATATATATGTGGTTTTCATAGCCGATCAATGTTTGCCAACACTAATTTGTATGTTAATTATCATTTTAATTTAATCTTATTATAATTGTTTGTTGTAAAGTCGATACCAATACATTTTAATAATACATCATCTTCATATCAGCTGTTAATTGTCCACTGTTAAAGACAGGCCCCCCGTTATTAAGGAGTTTTGTCGGTAGTTGTTACGCTTAGCAGGCGGATTGGTAACCGCAGTTAGGCTTTGGTGATGTTTAAAGAGGAACGCTGCCTATCCCTCGACTTTAACAATAGACGATTTTAATAATGCGATTCCTAATGATTACTTCATTTTGATATCAGATAATTAAAAAAAATCTTACTTCAATTTTAAATTAATAATTGCATTCAAATTTTAAACATTTTCTCAAATAACTGAAAAGTTTGAAACAACATTGAATTGTATTAGATATACAACAGTAGTTATATAATACATATGATAAATAATTTAGTTTTAAGATACTTTATATTAAAGATTATTTTTTATAATATAATATTTAAATAATTTATTTAAATAAATATGGTTGAAATAGGTCTTAATCAGTGTTATAGAATCACATACTTAGCCACATTATTTTAATGGCATTCAAAATGGTAAAGTGTTACTTGTATACATTTCAGATGTTTTCAGACCCTATACTAACAACATGTATTCTACTTACATAAAAAACAATAAGTAGCATGTCAATGTTTTTTATAACGTTCTATGAGATACATTCATTTAAATAATTTAAATGTTAAAATCATTTTGATGCAAACTCTTTTATGGAATAAATACATTTATCTTGGAGCTAACGTTTTAGATTGACTTTAAAAAGATTTTGTGGTAGTTCCCGTATATTTTTTATCACATATGAAATAATAGATGACCTAAAAGTGATGTACGTTTTGGGTGGTTAGAGATTGCCACAGATTTAATAATACTATTTAGAGTTAGGTTCAGTTAACAACATCAGGTTATGATGAAGAAATAATAAATAGGAAGCCATTTAAATGCTAACACGTCATAGATAATGTCACATAATTATAATAACAATAACGGCCACCCATTGTTTTATCGAAAGATTGAGAATAATTACTACTATCGTGTAAAGGGTACTACTACCTACTTAGATTAGTCTACTAAGATTATTGACCAAAATAAAATACTATATATGTATTCATTTTATATTAGTTATTAGGTTATAATTGTTTTATAGAATACAGTAAAAGAGCAGCAAACAAGAGCAAGATGTGATAATGTCATAAATACTTAACAGAAGTTCGAAAAACCGATAGTATTTAAGATTTCTTTACAAGGAGGTTTGGCTTCTTTGCATATTGGGATGGACACTAGACTATTCTGGAGTAATCATGCCCCTCTATCCATCTATGGTGGAGGATATTGTCTTATTTGTAACTCTTTAGGGGCAAACGCGATAATTTAGAATGACTTCATACTAAATGGATCCCAGATAGAGGATGATTGCTTGTGGTATTGGATATAATCAAGACTTACGTACGGCAGTGGAAGATAAAAAGATTAATATTAAAATACTAATAAATGCTAATATTTTATATGCGTTGAAAGTTACTGTTTTGATTGACAGAAAAATTTCTAACCTAACACTTATGGTTTTGGTCAATTGTCACAATTTTTTAATCATATTAATATATAAAGTTATACGAAATAAGCGATTTGGAATAAGTATGGATATACACTAAGCAAATAACTTTAGTGGAGTTAAACATATACAAAAATATTACTTTTTTAGTTGACAATGATTTTCCGAAGACGATACTTTTTAGCGAAAACTATTTTAATATGTTACAACGAAATAGAAATAAATGCATGCACTATTAATTACTAGTTTGTATCCCGTAACTTTGCTTGAGTTTCACACCCAAATTTCATTCAGATGCGTTCAGCCGTTGAAGCGTCATCGAGAAATATTTATAAACTTTTACATTTATAATATCAATAGGATGCATTTTTCAATATAAGCTTACTTTAATTTACTATAATAAGATAGGTTATTTGTCAGAGATTATAGCAATGAAGGTGCCTTTTTCAATTGCGCAAGTTTATCGGGTTTTTTTATAAATGCTGTATTAAGGTCTTTTCAGGGACGGCAATGCACACGTGATACCCCTAGTGTTGCAGGCGTCCATAGGCTAGTGTCCGTTTACTACCAGACCAACTGTATGCTTGTTTGCCACCTTCGTAGTATAAAAAAATGTATCAATATTTTTAGTATACATCTATTTTGTGCGTAATAAAGTTTGTTATGTATTTAATATAATAAAAATAATTAATTATAAATTAGTTAATTATCTAGTATAATAATATATATAACTAATTAATTTAATTATATGAATAGATAGAATATTAAAGACTTACCTTAAGATGACAAATCTGGTGTTAGTCGTAGCTCGTGTTCGACCCTTCGACAAGTTCTGTCGTCTCCAACGCCTACAAGGAACATTTATACTCAGATTGATACAAACATTATCGTGTTGTTCATTAATTGAATGAAATTATAATCAATGGTATCTGATTGAGTAAACAATGGAGCCGGAAGATTTTTCTATTGGTGTTTATTGCTTACGTTACGTCAAATATCGGGTAATATCGTATCATAATCGGTATAGTGTAATATTTTTGACGTCAATTAAAGTCTAAACATGAATACGAGTAAATGTACACCGAAGTATATGTATACCCAAGTTTAATTGGTAAAAATGGCACGTTTATTAATATTATTAATATGAAAGTGAGTTTGTTTGTATTACGAGTATTAATGCTTTATTGGCTTAATTAATCATTTTGAATTTTAATGTATATGAACTATATAGTATGGAGAAGGACATAAGTTACTCTTTAACCCGATTGTTAAACTTATCCCGGTCACGCAGACGAAGCCGCGGCTTAAAGCTAGTATATCATATTTGTAATAATGACTACTTGTCTATATTGTTAAGTACGTTTCTACGGTTAAACTCAGAAATTGATTAAGATGATATTGATGATGATTTAGAAGAGTGACAGATCCCTGACAAAGTGTTAAAACAAGAGGTTTAATTCACTGATAACAACTATTTTCAAATAATCGTACTTATTAAGTATAGGCCAAGTATATTTTTTTAAAAAGAATGAAGTGGAATACAATTTTTTACCATCAACTCTATTAATATCATATATATGTTATGAATATACATATTTGTAAAAGTTCGGAAGTTTAAATATTAGTATATAGACGTTATTTATTAACATATGCAACAATTGCAGCGGCGTGGTGGGCCAGGTCGTTGGACCTATTATATATATGGAACACAACGATGGCTAACTTATCCGTCAGGGGGAAAAGGGATTGTTAGCAATGGAGTTTAACAGTCCCATTGCTAGCAATATACCTTATTAGGTCGACCTCCACGTGGTTCCCCCTGGAAACCATCGTGTACAATTCTTGTTGAATTTGTCACGATGGGCTAACTGACCTACTTCATCCTCACCTATCATCCTTCACTGGTGCCCCGCTGGTGTATACCGATAGCATGGGTGGGGTTACCATTCCATTATCATCCATTACAAAAAAAAACTTATGCGTCATACTCATGTACGGGTAATTCTAGTAGGGACTGGTCAGTTCAAGAAAATTGTAATTGATTGTAGCTTGGTAGCTTTGGATTTTCTTTCTTTTCATCAATACGAAGTTTGTGATAGTCATTTTTTGTTGTCGTCTTAACTTTTATTAAAAAAAAATAGCTTTGTTTCTTGTTCGTTCTTCTCAGCTGAATTTGCGTACTGAACTGGGTGGTAAATTTATAAAAAAATAACTATTCAAAAATGCTTATTATTAAATTTACTTGAATAAAAATTATTTATTATTATTATTAAAAATTCAAAATATTTACAAGTTTGATTAAAAATCGTATCAATTTGGGAATAAGTACTATATATATTCCAAATAATATATATCTCTTATGTATATAAAATCTCTATTGAAATATGTACAACAAAGAATTGAAAACGAACTAATAATTATATGCCGAATATACTATATAATTATTCCCAATAAAGTTTGAAATAACGTGATTAAAAAGAGTTAAAAGCAAAAAGTTATGTTTTGTCAGGAATCAAAAAACTATATTTTTCTTTAGCAATCTCACTAATGTAACTTTCAACTAATTGCACGACATTTATTTACAAGATTACCTAATTTACCAATTAATTAAAAAAAATTTACCAGCATATAGTATAAGGATTAAGGATCAAAAGACTATATCAGATTAATGTTTAGTGTCAATATATACATATAGTCTTTGGTAACAAATGGAATCATTTGGAAAACAAATATTTTCGTAACGTGTCAATTGTGTAATTTTTGTTGATAATACATTTTTTTTAATATGGTCAATTTTTTTTTTATCATTCATGTACATTACAAATGTGTACATGGCGGACATAACACCCAAAACTTATTTGTTGGCGGTACAATTGAAAATATAAAAAGAGAAAGTACTTAAGAAATATACACATGCACTAATATATAGGAGAAATTGAGGTAATTTGGATTATCTTTTTTTAAATAGATAGTTTTTAAGTATATGTCCTAAAGATTTTTCCAAACGTTTAGTGTATGATCTGAGTAAACGATTATTATGTTTTGCATCTAGTAAATATTAACCAATAAAATTATTCAATTATCAGATCTCACAATTTGTTGACATTTTCATAATCAACAAAATGAGCTTTATTCCAATTTAGCAAACTGGTTCTGTTATTTGGACTATGAGGCTGCTAAATTGGACTTTGATATGCTCTTAGGTAAAATATAAAGAAAAACAATAATTAAACGAGATATAATAGATATAACAGTCTCGATAAGAATATTTAAATTTCTCTTTACATAATTATTGCAAATATTGGGATTTTGGGTACAAGTTTCATGATTTCAATTATCGTAAAGAACGCATTGTATCGAAACCAAATTTCATTGATTGAGTCGTTAAAGCGGTAAGAAGTATGAGTGAGTAATATATAGCAATATCTATATATTTTAGTTACAATATCTATATACTGACTTTAAAAATCTGTTTTCTAAAAAATAAAATTGGATAACAGATTTTAACATATTCGAAAATAAACATGCGATCGATATGGGCGATATTGAAATGGGTGATGACCTTTTTTCCACTATTAATGTCCAATATAACCTAATACATAGATATCAGATCGGTATCCATATTACCGATGCCTAGTAAAAAGTAATAAACAAACAAAATCACTTTCACATTTATAATATTAGTAAGGATTGGGATTTGCACATTTACTGTAATAAGCCACAGCATGATCTGGTTACTCTACTTACATGAAATTAGAAAAATCTCTACCTCTTTCTTGTTATTCATCATCATCATCATATCAGCCTTTAACTGTCCACTGCTGAACATAAGCCTCTCCCTTGGGGGGTTTTGCCAGTAGTTGCCACGCTTGGTAGGCGGATTGGCAACCGCAGTCAGACTTTACAGATGTTTTAAAAGAGACGCTGCTGCCTATCTTTTGCTCTCCTTTCGTCAGTTCTCACGACACCCACGCGAAAGGAAGGAGTGGCCTATTCTATGCCGGGATACGGCCACTTTCTTGTTATTATAGTATTTTAATAAATTTTAGGGAGATATACTAATGTTTATATTACAATATATTGAGTCCGAAACGAAAAAAGGTAATTCAACAGCTCTACTATTGAACAGAAATAGATATTACTTGTCTATAAAATCTGTATAAATAAAAATAATATATATATATATATATATATATATATATATATATATATATAATTTTGTATATAATTAATATATATGAATACTAAAAAGATAACACAATGTTATATGTACCAATAAAAATGTATGTTTTTTATGAAAAAAAAAATGTTTCTTAAATTAACTTAAAGTTACTGATACGTTATTCGATAAGTGTGTAATGTATTTTTAAATCATCATATTTAACTGTCCATCACCGTTAACTGTCCACTGCTGAACATAGGCCTTCCCCACAAGAGAAGCTTTGCCAACAGTTGCCGCGCTTGACAGACTGGTTGGCAACTGCAGTTTGGCTTTTAGTGATGTTTTAACAGGGACACTGCTACCCATCCCTAAACCATTTAGTTTCCCTAGTCGCGTCTTACAACACCTACAGAAAAGGAAGGTGTGGCCTATTCTATACCAGGACTACACAGCTAATTTTTATTTTTCTTAAATACTCTTAATTTTTTTTTTATTTCGTAAAAGTAAATATAGTACTTACTTCTTTTTTCATTTATTTAAAAATGAAATCTCTAATATTTTTTTTAAGACTGTCAACTCTGAACTTATTTTGATATTATTTTTTTGTTGTAAAGGCTCACTTTTAAGTCTGGCAGCGATTAATATTTTTTTTATTTTAATTACTTTTAAATGTACAAGTTATATACATCCTTGGCTTAAATATATTTCAAACTAGCATTTTAGTTTGTTCTCTTGTATATAGTTTTCAGATATTAAATTTCTTCCTATGTAATGAACACGAATAATAGAGAATTTTAAACAAATAAATTTTCTTGAAATTGCATAAAAATGTTATATTTATCTATATGTAATCAAGAACTTTTATATTTGCTTACAAAGACACTATAGTTCCATAAGGTAATGTTAAAATGACAAATTTCATGTCGTAAGTAGATATAAAAATTGTAAATGTTAATCATACAAACAAAAACAAGAATTAAATCGACCTTAACATTTTTTTATCAATTTTTACCTGGGGGCCTACCATTAAATGAAATTCTGAACTTTCGGGCTCAATTTCGTGTTTTTGTTTGTACCTAAATAGACCCAGTAAATAGAGCTTAACATTTCATTCATCATAAATCTTATCCTAATAGTCCAGAGGAACGATATTTTAATATTTTTAATAATTTTAAACGGCATGTATTATGTAATTTTAACATCAAATTTCTATTTCGTTCGTGCCCGAAATTTCGGAAAATATTTCATGGTAGGCCCTCTGATCTTTATGAATTACGATGTAAGGGAGTAGCGTCTAATATTTAGGAGCAAGATTATTTTATTATCAAAAACATCGTTTTACTTCAATAATGTATTATTTTATATGTAAATTAATAATCATTTTATATTTACATTTCATTATAGTTAACGTAATGGAATTAAACAAAAGAAACTAACATTTGTCGATACAAACAACATAATATACCTGTAGGAAAAAATTAAAAGACATGGAAAGTATATTTTCTGATATTCACTACGTTTTTATTTATTTGCTCTTTATTGCACCACTTAAAAATTTCGTCATTTTGCACAATATTGCATTTCCCTGAGTACTATTTCTAATGTATTATTTGTTCTTATTTATTCCTTTTTTAATGATTCTAGTGTATCCTTATATCTTTTTTCGTAGATGCTTTCAGGATCGTATCTACTTTTTAGTTCATTCCATAGTTCAGGACGTTTATTCACCAGAAATCGTACAACTTTATCCGCGCCAGCCTTTTGTTTTTCTGTACATTTGCTACACTCGAATTCCAAAGCATCGGGAATGGTTTCCTTCAATGCTTTACCGTCTGGAGTGCACCGACCTTTGTCAAGAAGACAGTCTACGTATCCTCTAAGAAGCCGCTGAGATTCCAGTATCTCGTCGACGTTTATGTGGTCCCATTTGTCAGTGTATGTGTGTCCTGGTTTACCATACACCGCTACCACCATTACCATGAATATGACTAGTAATTTCATTGTTAATCTGAAAAAAAATACATTATAATTAGTTTTAATATTATCTATATAATATATATAATATTTACCAGAGGGAGACTTTGTACAAAACTCGATTGCTTGGGTACCTCTGTCCCATTCGTGTTTCAGCCGTAAAGCTGTTGTGTTTGCATGACTGTGTTTCGGATTGAAGGGTGGGATATGACGTGAATTTACTGGGTACAGAGGAATAACATCTGAGTCCTCAGGAATGGCAACGCATGGGGGGTATCATGGGCGAAACAGTATACTCTGTTATGTCCATGGTCCTGCTCATGTTTATAGGCGACGGTTACCACTTTCCATCAGGTGGGCCGTCAGCTTGTTTGCCATTCTAAGTTGTATAAAAAAAATCTGAATATGACATTATTTTACCTCCCTACTAATATGCAGAATCTAAAGAAATTATAGGGAATATGTAATATATGTAATAAAAATATTACTTACGACACGATACTATAAATTTCGATTCTTTTGATTAAAAGCAACATTAAAATGGGTTTAGTAATCTTTCTATCTAGAATCTAGAGTATTTCACATTTTTGTGTCTTTTTATTTGTAATGATAAACTCAAAAACTTCTGGACAGATTTTAAAACTCTTTTACTTATAGAAAGATACATTATCAGAGATATTTCTTTAAAAATTAGAGGTTCCTATGAAAATTACAATAATGTAACCCTAGCTATTACAAATGTGTCTAATAAGCTATTATAAAATATTAATTTATCTTTCTATCTGTGCAAATTTCTTACTACATTACTTCATAATTATACGGATTAATTCTATATCAATTATATGTTATATTATATTATACTATTTTCTATAATTATGTTCATTATAAAATTAAAAAATAAAATTTACAAAACCTTACCTTAAGCAGTTAATTCTGATGAACTTAGTGTTCGACCCTTCGTTAGGTTCTGTCCCCTACAGCTCAAGCCAGGGCCATTTATATTGAATCCTAGCCAGAATGAAAGATGCAATATTGCGACACTCGTGAATGTAAAGAAATTATACAATCAATGTCATCTCTTGTTGAATAAACAATGAAGACGGAAGAATTTTCTTAATACCTCTGTTCAAATGTATCTGATCTCAATAAACTAGTGGGTTGTATGTTTATTGACATAATTCTTAGGTCTCCCGTTCTTTGGTCTCTATTTATATTATTATATATAAGTACATTGGTGATTTTTAAAATATTAGAATTACATTGGGGTTCTTAATTGTTATATATATATATATATATATATATATATATATATATATATATATAATTACAATAATATTTATAGATATATATTACTATATAATATTAGGATAGGTTAGGATTAATGTTCTATATACTTATTTTAAATGAAAGATGAGCGAAAACTTAACACAAAGCCCCCCATGTTGTCCGCTTTTAGTTACTTATATCCTTGGCCATTTTTTTTATAATTCCTTCTTTTTAAAGTCAATTAAAAATGAATAATGATTAAAATCAGTAAAATCCTTTTCATCATGTGATTATAATAAACTACAGAATAATATATGAAGGTATTACATGTAAATTATCGTTTCAAGTAATATTGCTACTGAGTTTGCCTCAAGATTCTTGAATATGCATGTGACATATTAGAACAAAATAATACAACAGAAAATACATCACAAGTTTTTAATGTTAAAGGTTATTATAGAATATCATATAACAAATGACGTGTAATTAAGTTTGAACCGACATGAACCCAACAACATTGTTGTCAACATGTTCTCAAGTAGGATTATAATCTATTCGTAGACACGTAACTATATGCAATATTCATAAATAGAAATGGAATACTAATAGGCTGACTTGCCAATTTTTTTTTAATTGTTCTTTATGAAAAAAATGAAGATGATATGAACAATAGAAATGTCTGTCGGATGATCTAGTGAATAATGTTTTTTTTTTGTAATTTGGAATGGTAAACAGGCAGCTCACCTAGTAGAAAGTAATAATATACAATATATAATATTTCCAAGTCTGTTTCGATGTCATGCCGTTTATACGATTATAGTATGTTTATCTATTTTTTTACTGGATATTCATTGAATAGATAACCAATTATTTTCGATGGGAATCAAATACTAAATCCTATCCTAAGAATATTCAGTATTGCATCAGAGTTCAAGGCGTATAAACAATGGATAAAAGTCATTGAACGCACGCAACGAATCTATACACACAATATGGCTAATTATTAGACTTCACTTCTTCATGTTCTTAGATATTGTCTATATTCAAATATGGACATTATTTTAAACCGATTTCAAAAGATAATCGTTTCAATTTTTATACCACTTTAGATGATACCCAATTTAAATGATATTATATTTTTTGTTTTTTGTTTCCACAAATGATAATTATTTTATAACAGAGTAAAATATATAGGAATTTTAAGAAATCATTACTTGTCTTCGTTACGTAGGGACCCTATGTAAAATTTAATATTTCTAAACCTAACAGTTCTAGCGCATTAATCAGTCAGATACTTCTTTTTTTTTACAATTATATGGTATATGACTTGGTTCACAATTGTAATTCTTGATGCAATAGTTCGAGGAAATCGTCGACTGTTGTTGTAAACGTAATGCTCAATATATAATGGGTATATTTTGCCTTAAAGTTTTTGGTATCTGCGAAGTTAAGATTTGAACTCATGATTTTTGATGTTAGCATATTATTACTTAGAGGTACTCCAAGGCCCCAAATTCTTTTTAAATATTGTGGATTCACGAATATATATTAGAGTATACATTTTTAAATGTTTTCAAAAACATAGTTTGCATAAAACTCTTGCATGACTTTCTTGACATGTATCCGTAATTACGATCATTTGTATTCCACACTTAATAATCATAGGATAACTACGACTGTTTAAGCATAATCAACCTCCATTGTTTCAAAACATTATTAATTGTTTTGTGTCAGTGAGGCACGCGGTACCTACTCTATCTAGTCTTCCCGGTTTAGAAACGTGTTTATGCTTTCATATCAAATTTATTAATGTATTTATTTATAACTACTTTTTATCCCCGTATCCGTTTGGATAACCAGGATAGGTTGATTGACTGGGATAAAAAGTAACCTGTCCTTGTCTATTCTAAATAATACGAGTATACCACATTTCATGACGATTATTAAATCGTTAAGGCACCGGGAAGTAACAAACAAGCTCGCTTGGGAGGAAGGGATTGTTTGTAATGGAGACTAAAGCTCCCATTGCTAGCAATATACTAGGTCGACCTCCACGCGAATCCCCCTGGAAACCATCGTGATTAATTCTCATAGTATTCTTTACGATAAACTGACTGATCTGCCTTTATCCTCAGCTATCACCTCTCACCCGGTGCCCCGCCAGCGTATACCAATAGTGCAGGCAGGGTTACCATTTCATTATCATTCATTAAAAAAATCCCATCCCTAAGTCCATAAAAGATAGTTTGATAAAATAAAATAAAACCTAATTATAATATAAAGTATTTTAATTTTTGGGTAAAGACTAACAGAATCATTAGGTCGTTTTATTTTACTGCCACCTAACAATAGCGGGTGAACACAACAAAATTTATTACATAGCAAATGCACTCGTCTGCTAACATAAAGGCTGTTCGTCATTGTATTATGCTAGTTGCTTTCTCGTTCTTTTCTAATTACAATTCCATAAACCTATGTTAGATGGCGTTGACATATATTAATATTACTTATTGCGAGTATGAATAAAAATAAATAAATATATTTACAACTATCATCTCAGATGAGGTAGAGAGGTACTTATAGTAGATATTTGGGGATGATGTAGTTGTAGTGAATATGATATGGTGGTGTTAGGGGGCAAAACAACGTAGGATCAGTTAGTGTCATGTATAACTTCTGTAATATAAAAATACATGCTTGTATTGTGTTATCAATTAAGTTTATTTATTTGAGGCCTCCTAAAAAAATATTTATTTATTCATTAAAATAATTGTTATATTACAACAGTAAAAACCAAACTAAAACCCTAGTGCTTACATACAAAATTATATTAATGGTATTTAATCCGACTCCAGATATTTTTGAGTCGCTTCTTATATCTTTGGCAGGCTACTACTAAAAACATCAAGGATGCCTATAATATTATTTAATATATGTACCGCGTGAGTTAAGGGAGCGTACTAAAGTAGGTTAATTCTGATTGATAAAATATGCTGTAGAAGTTGTATTTCAGATGAAAAAGGACAAAGACTACTTTTCATAACCATCATCAATTCAGCCATTATCCGTCCACTGCTGGACATAAGCCTACCCCATAGACTGCCACAAAGAACGGTCCTGAGCCACCTGCATCCATTGACTCCCTGCAACGTATTGCAGGTCGTCAATGGATGAGAGAGAGAGGTCATCCTACACTGCGTTTACCCGTATATGGTCGCCACTCAAGAACCTTTCTTCCACATCAGTTATCGGCTCTTTGAGCTATGTGACCAGCCCATTGGCACTTCAGCTTGCTTATCCTTCGGGGTATGTCGGATATTTTAGTTCTTTTGTGAATATCTTCGTTTCGGATTCTATCAGGCAAAGAGACTCCGAGCGCTATGTACTCTCCATAGACCGCTGAGTAACTTGTAGCTTCTGCATACAGGCAATCGTGTAGGACTACGTTTCGATTCCGTAAGTTATCACTGGCAACACACACTAGTTAAGGATCTTCGTCTTCAAATTCTGAGGTATTTTGAATGAAAAGATGTGGCATAGTTTCCCGAATGCTGCCCAGCCGAGTTGAAGTCGTCGGTTGACCTCTCGGTCGAAGCTGGACATACCCATTCGGACAACTTGTCCCAGGTATACATACTCATCGACAACTTCGAGCGTAGTGTTGTCAATCGTAACCGGCATAGGTGTGACATGGACGTTAGACATAATCTTAGTCTTGTCCATGTTCATCTTAAGATCTACCTGTTGAGAAACAGTATTGAGGTCCTTGAACATAGTATTCAGATCCTCCAGGGGTTCCACCACAATTACTATGTCATAGGCAAATCGAAGGTGAGTGATGTATTCGCCATTGATGTTTTATTGACAAAACAGGACTACTTTTCATCCCAGTCAATTAATATATAAAAAATAAAAAAGTATATAAATTTATTGTAACCAGAAACATAGTATTTGCCTACAACACAGTCTCGTCTCTCTAATGAGTGATATAATAATCAGATAAGCAAACCATAGGCAACCTGGCAAAAGGCGTAAACCTTTCAGCCGATTGTCTATGGTCTGCGGTCAACTGCTATTCACCTCTCGAATGGCCATGATCTGTTATAACAAGTTTTGTTTGTTATAGCAACAGATTTTAATCATGCAAATGTTCAGCTTGTTCTATAGAATATATATACAATATTTAATTATTAATCTATTACGTAAATAAGAACAACCTATTTTCTAAATTATCCTAGGTAGCTTGGAGTTCTTAAAAAAGGATGTAATAAGATTTTTAAAGGGTCACTAACATGAGCATAAATTCCTTGGTCTTGCAGGCGTCTACTGGTTAAGGTGGCCGTTTACGATCAGACAGGCTGTATGCTTGTTTGTCACTATAGTAGTTAAAGACTACTTCTATTAAAAAAAAAAAGTGGTTTCATATTTTTCGTTGTTGTATTATATATATTTTCATTTTTGTGTTCATATATTTTTCTTTTATTATTATATACCTATTTAAATGTATCATTTGAGGCGTTGCCCTTACGCTATTAAGATAAAAATGTACCTTATCTTTTTTCTTTTGTGTACTACAATTCAAATTCTGCCTGCTTAGAAATTTTTCAGTAATTTAGTAATTATTGGAATATAGTTTTCACATTTTAATAATGTTATATAGAATTAAAGTGACATCAATGAAGGCCTCACAGCAGACACAGTCGAGTATCTTTTACTGCCCAGGCTTCTAAATCCGGCGAGAGACAATCTAGAGCGTAAATTTTAGTCAAATCATAATGATACAGTGCATATGTTTTTC